ATTTCATGCAAATCCGTTCAGTCGTTTCCGCGTATTAATTTAATTAAACTTTTTTAACAGGTGGCAACTCTTAAAAAGGAACAGCCTATTAAGCAATCTGGCTCATAAGCTATCTGCGTACAAAATTTCATGCAAATCCGTTCAGTCGTTTCCGCGTGATGATTTCCCAAACATCCAAACATACAAACTTTCACATTTATAATATTAGTAAGAAATAAGATATATAGATATATATATATAGTTATTTAGTTACCCTGTTATTTAATACTTTACCAAATACAACAAAAAGGAAATTTTAGTATATGATTTTATGCTGCTGTAGTATGCTACGACGGGATAACCAAAAAGGAAGGAACCCGAAGTGAAGAGAACCAGGGTTGCGTGATACATCAAATACACTGGTTGTAGAGATGTATTAAAAAGTAGTTTTGCTGAGTTGCCACAGTACTCCCGTACCAGACTTTTAGGTAGCGAAGCGTACTGGAAGTCGAATGAGGCGTCCTCGTCGTGTTGCTTTTGTTGTCAGCGATGATTTCGCAGGATTGTCGGTAGTTGGAGCTGGTTCTGCAGTTTCAGTTGTTGTCAACGATGATTTCGCAGGACTGTCAGTAGTTGGAGCTGGTTCGGCAGTTTCAGTTGTTACTTCTCGTTGTTGAATAGTCTGAGGCAGTAGTGTCCAACCGGTAGCTCGCGGGCGCCTGGTAGCTCGCGACCTAAATTTTAGGCGCCCGCAAACAAGAAGATGAACAGAATTTGTATTGAATTGAAAAGTTTAACAATTGGAAGCTTTTTTGGTACATAAGTAGGCTTTTTTTTAATTTTCACGAACTCATTCACTTCTTATCTTTCTATGCTAGACATGACAGAATCTCTGTTTCAGGATTTTCAAAACAAAAACAGCGCAATCTCAGCAATAAAAAAGTGTCTGATGACCTACCAAACGATATTCATGGCCAAATTAAAAGCGATTTCAAGAAATGTGACTAGGTTTCCTTACAAATGGATGAGTCGACGGATGTTTCAGACTCTCCGCACTTATTAGTGTTCTCCAGAGTGGTATTTTCTGATTTTTCTGCTAAGGAGGCACTATTAGTCAATCTGACTTTGGAAACTCGTACTCGTGGGCAAGATATATATATATATATATATATGTATATAACATAGTGAAAAAGAATGAAAATCTGATTTCAAAAACACTCAACCTTGACAATGTTATGAGCACGATCGTTGGTATTGTGAATTTGATTCGANATGAGCACGATGGTTGGTATTGTGAATTTGATTCGAGGATGACCGTTAAAGCATCGGCAATTCAAAGCCTTGCTCGATGAATTTGAGAGTGAATTCGGTGACATATTCTACCACTCTGAAGTAAGATGGCTGAGTCAAGGTAAAGTGCTCTCAATATTTGTAGCTTTGATGACAGAAATAAAGACTTTCCTGAAATCCAAAGGCAGCATTTTTAACTGATGTGACTGCAAAACTAAATGATTTCAATACAACTTTGCAATCTCGAAATCGATGTATGGATAGAGCAGTTGACAAGAAAAACTTTCAACATTTCTAGACGTTTACTCTTCTGGAACAGGCATTTTTAAAACTAATGGTTATAAAAAACAAATACCGAAACGTATTGACTGACGAACATTCAAAAATAACATGATTTTAGCCTGCACAACTGTGGATNTTGACTGACGAACATTCAAAAATAACATGATTTTAGCCTGCACAACTGTGCATTATCAACCAGATTTTAAGAAGTTATCTGAAAATATGAGGATTCAAGCATCATATTAAGTTTATTAGGCATGTGCTGCGAGTCGTACGATTTGAAATCGGTGCGATTTGCAAACTATTTTTGATTATTTTTAGGGAAAGTAATAAGTATTTCAAATGAAAACGGCGAGAAACACATAACTTACGTCATATCTATCGATTCAGTGCCAAATTTTGCCGTTTTGTTAATCAATCTCCGAAGAAGGTTTTGCAGATCGCATCGATCTCAAATCGTACGAATTGCAGCACATTCCCATATGTTTACAATAAAATGAATGTTCTTCATTAAAATATTATGCGCTGTTATTAATTTAACTTAACTGCATAAACTTTAACAATAAATAAATATTTTAAAAGGATCAGTTAGTAGAATATATACATTGTGTCAAAGCAGAACTATATACATACATTAGCTATATAAACAAAATAAAAATTGAAATATGAATTGTATTTGAATAGAAACACGCATGTACATATATATATATATATTCTATTTAATTTCGTATTTATGCAAACATTTACATATATACTTACTTTCGCTCTACTTACCTTTCTCGCTTTTACTTTCGTATTTACTATCTCTTACACTTGTACATACTTACCTCTGTATATTTACTGCCACTACATACTTATCATCTTATGTACTTACCTATGTATACTTACCCCTTCTTACTCTCTCATGTTTCCCCGGTTCTTCTCCTGCTTAATACTTCTAAGTTAAGCCGTTAGGTTAGGCAGTAGGTTAAGAATATGAAATGAAGAATTGTAATAAACACTCGAATTGTAATATCGGAACCGTGCGGTCATTATTTGTCCTCCCAGGCAACTAAATCGGAAATAATTTGGTAGTGTTTCGCGCTCCTCTAACAGTGACAAGAACTGATAAAAAAAGGTACAAACCAACTTAACACAAAATAGTGTTGAATTTTTCATGGCGCCCGAGCAGGGACCTAGTGCGAAATACACATAACAAATAAGAGAATTTGCTAAATTATTAAAAGCAAAGGCGATTAATTGTCATACAAAGTGATTTGGACAAACTGTTGAAATAAGAGGTCCTTAATTACTAAAAAATTTAAACTCATTTGATACAATACATCAATATACGAGTACATATAACGTTTATTTAGTTGCCTGCGCGGTCCGTGACAGTCAGTCGTCTCGCATAACAAAAATACAAACACACAAACCATAAAAATAAGCAAAGAACAAAGAGAGTGCAGTGACAGTGGGCCGTAGTGCATAAAACACACAAAAATTAAAATTAAGAATAATTTCAAAAAAAATATATATAGACATATATACAAGCACAATTAAAAGGCATACGGCTGTTAAAAACGAAATTTTACACACACATAAATAAACAAAAAATATCTCGCAAAACGGAATCAAATAAACTTACCACTAAAAAGTTTCCGCTGGAACTGCTACTTATTTTTATTGTATACATACTTACCTACCGTTGGAGCTGCTGCTTACTTTCTGCGTTGGAACTGCTACCTTGGATACTAGCCTAAGATTTGCTGTGTTACTGGGAAGCTGCATAAATTTACCGCTGCATCGTTGGACATCGCGGGAATGAACTGCGAGTGTATCGTCTGCAAGAGGGAAGTTAAGGCTGGAAACAAACCGGTCCATGATAAACAGGTATTGAGTGCGAACAATTGAAGCATACGAAATATTTGGCTTTGTAATTGATTTGATTACAAAGAATACAAGCTTCGATTTTTGGCATTTCTTGTATCCATTTCAATTGCGCCAATTACATATATATATATATATATTGCATGCAAATAGGCCTCATATATACATACATACATATTCACATACTGCCTTTGAAGTGAAGGATACAGTGGGACAAGAGGTAGAAGTACGCGTTTTGTGTTTGAATAATTTTGCGAGTACTATTTTCGATTTGTATTTTTTTTCGTAAATTTTCAAAAAATCCAAGCGTGATTTACAGGCTTAGGAGCCTATCGTAATACATACGATATTTTTCGCAAATTTAATTTTCGCCAATTTGCTACTGCAAATTGAAAAAATTATACAACCGTTGCGATTTCTTGGTGTTCGGCAATTGGCTTTCGATCTCGTTTTTCGTTGGTTCTGGTCAAGTTTCATCAAAAATTTTGTTTTCGTTTTAGTTTCCTAAAAAACTTCCAGAACTATTTTTCGAGCACAAAATTACTGTACATAAAAGCAAAAGTTATACTTTTGTTCGCAACCAAGACATCGGAACTCTAGTTAAAAATGAGCCAAGTAGAAGAATTGAAGGTATTTAAAAAGCAACGGTCAGTTCTGAAAAGAAACATAGTACGTATAAGAACAGGCCTTATCGAAAAAACCATGTCGTTAGATCCCATCGAATTAGAATGTAGACTTGAAATTTTAAATTCACACAGCGAAAAGCTAATGACGTGTCAATCAAGAATAGAAGAAATTGATGAGGAAGATTTGGCCCGTGGAGAATTGGAGGACATAGTTGTAGAAACGAAGTCCATGATTAAGTCCATTCTCGCAAAAAATAAATCTTCTGTTGCCGAGTCGTCATTTATTGCACCTCACAGCTCGCGACTCCCTAAGATGTCGCTGCCCAAATTTAAAGGGGAATATTCTGAATTTAAGAATTTCATGAGCTTGTTCGAGAGTTTAGTGCACAACGATCCTACGATCCCGGATATCGAAAAATTTAATCATTTAGTGTCGTGTTTATCCGGTGAAGCATTGGGCACAGTGAAGTCCTTCCAAATGTCGGAAGAGAACTACCCAAAGGCGTTGGCCAGTTTGAAGAGAGTATATGACAATAAATGTCTAATATTTTTCAATACAGTTTCTAGACTCTTTGATCTCACTAAAATTCAAAAACCTTCTGCTTCATCTTTGCGATTGATAATCGACACAGTGTCCGCGGTGTATGACTCGCTTTTGTCTCTGGGTGATGACAAGCATATTTCAAATGCGATGTTAATTCACATAGTCATGTCCAAGGTTGATCCCACTACTCGGTCAAAGTGGGAGGAGCAGCTGGACTATGATAAATTGCCGCTTTGGGCTGAGTGTGAAGCTATGCTCAATAAGAGGTACCAGCATCTTTCTGCTGAAGAAGCTTCCTCATCCCAGACAAAAATTAATAATTCAGACACTCGACAGAAGACAAGGAATCAACAATTCGAAAGATCGAAGGCAGCATTTATCGCAACAAACTCTAAAGAGACAACTTGCCTGCACTGTGGTTCAAAGGACCATTCCATTATATCTTGCCCAAAATTCCAAACGTTGACTGCTCTTCAGAGATTCGAATACGCGAAATCGGTTTCCTTGTGCATAAATTGCTTGCGCAAGGGACATACCGTCTCAAGGTGCAAATCAGATCGCTGTCGCGTGTGCAATCGGTCACACCATACTATGCTGCACCAATACCCGATCTCTTTTGAGACTGAGCGTCAACCTCCGACGACACAGGCGATGCATACTAGCAGTGTGCCAGATCGCGTCATGCTAGCCACAGCCGTAGTGTACGTAAAGTGCTGCTCCGGTAGTTATGTGTCAGCTCGCGCTCTGCTTGACTCTGGGTCCCAAGTCAATTTTATGACCGAGGAGCTGGCACAAAAATTGCGAATACGAAGAGAGAAGTCGACTCTGAATGTAATTGGAATTGGCAATTCGAATAAAAAGGTCCAAGGCAAATTAAATGCTTTCGTAAAATCGAGGGTCAATGATTTTGAATTTTCAACAGATTTTTGGGTAATGGGTTCGATATCAGCCAATCACCCAGATCACACAGTGAACACAAATGGCTGGAAAATCCCACAAAATCTCGAATTGGCTGACCCAAACTTCTTCAAGTGTCAAAAAATCGACATATTATTGGGAGCTGAAACATTCTTTGATCTGTTATCGGTGGGTCAGATCAAAACCAGTCCAAGGCAGCCAACGCTGCAAAAAACATTATTAGGCTGGATAATATCGGGCAAATATGCCTCAAGTCAAAGCTCCAGTGGACAAGTAAGTAGCACATTATGTAAAGCCGAAGAAAATATGGAAAATATCGATGCCACCGTCCAGAAATTTTGGGCGCTGGAAGAACTACCCTCGGAGGCAAACGTCAAAAGACTAACTCCTGAACAAGCTGAATGCGAGCAGGTATTTTCGAAAACCACGGTTGTTTTGCCAGATGGAAGGCTTCAAGTCAGGTTGCCTTTTAAGAATGATCGTAAGTTACTCGGTCATTCGTATGAAACCGCAGCTCGGCGGTTTCAGGCGCTGGAGAGAAGGACTCTGAAAGATCCAGAACTTCGCAAAATGTATCTGGACTTCATGAAAGAGTACCTAGAATTGGGCCATATGAGCCCCACAAACAACAGAATCCCGAGTGAGCCGCATTATTTCATTCCGCATCAGTGTGTGTTAAGACCGCAAAGCACGACTACAAAGTTGCGCGTAGTTTTTGACGCTTCAAGCCGTACATCCACACAAGTTGCGTTGAATGACATCTTAATGGTCGGACCGACCGTTCAAGAAGAGCTTTTTTCGACACTCCTCCGCTTCCGATTGCACAAATATGCCATTACTGCCGACGTCACAAAGATGTATCGACAGATTTCAGTGCACGAAGATGATAGGAACTTTCAGCTCATAGTGTGGAGACCAGATCCATCAGAGCATTTGCAAGTCTTTCGTTTAAATACCGTGACTTACGGCACTGCGCCTGCACCATTTCTCGCTACACGGTGTCTTCAAATGCTAAGCGACATGAACCTATCGAAATATCCACTCGGTGCCAAAGTCATTCGAAATGATTTTTATGTCGACGACCTGCTGACAGGATCCGACGATTTGAAATCCCTCATTCAAATTCAAACTGAGGTGAATAAAATTCTAGAATCGGCAGGCCTCAAACTAGCAAAGTGGTTTTCCAATCACCCTAACCGGTCGAACAGCGAGAGTCATAAGAAGTTATTGCAACTCAGCGACACAGACTCTACAAAAACGCTGGGAATTCACTGGCAGCCGAAAGATGACATTTTTCGCTTCATTCTGGAGGACAACTTTAGTGAACTGCGAGCAACCAAACGAAACATTGTATCGGTCTCTGCTCGCCTCTTTGACCCTCTTGGTTTATTAGCCCCACTAGTTACCAAAGCCAAAATCTTACTGCAAGAGCTTTGGATAGAGCTAGATTGGGATGAGTCGATTCCATTGCGCCTCGACACTAGCTGGCAAAACTTTAAAGTAAACTTACTGCAGCTTCCATCAATCAGCATTCCCCGGTATGTAAATACTGGGTCGACTGCCAGCTGCCAAGTTCATGGATTTTCCGACGCCTCAATAAGAGCGTACGGCTGCTGCGTATATATTCGTAGCCAAACCGCTAGTGGTACGAGATGTACGCTACTTACTGCAAAGTCTAGAGTAGCTCCGCTGAAGACTAAATCTCTTCCGCGTTTAGAGCTCTCGGCAGCACATCTTCTGGCCAAATTATGGTCAAGAATTTCGCCAATGTTGAGTCGACCGATAGAAAAGGTCAATTTCTGGACAGATTCCGAAATAGTTTTGCACTGGATCAAAACGCATCCATCTGCGCTGCAAACTTTCGTCGCAAACAGAGTGTCCGAAATCCAAGAGTGGACCCAGAATGCATCATGGCGACATGTGCCAACAAAACAAAACCCAGCGGATCAAGTGTCTCGGGGTTGTAACGTGGACGAATTAAATACATCAATCTGGTTTTCCGGTCCGCAGTTCCTCCTAGAAGACCCTGCTTTATGGCCACAAAATGTCAATTTTAACCTCTCTCCAGAGCAGCAAGCACTTGAAAAGAAAAAGAACGCAATTACGTTAAGTGCAGTTGAGGCCACAACAAATACACTTCTAGATTTAATTGAAAGAGTCTCATCCCACATGAAAGTGCTACGAATATTCGCTTACGTACTAAGATGGCCTCGAAAAACTAGAGATCGAAAGTTAGAATTTGAAGTTGTACCCACAGCAAAGGAATTACAGCTTAGTTTCCTTAAAATTGTCGAAATAGTTCAACATTCTAAATATAGTGAAGATATTAACAAATTATCGAAAAATATCGCACTTCCTTCTAGCTTGCAGAAATTATCTCCCGTTCTGCATGAATACTCTGAATCATCATTATCGTTTAAACTAATTCGAGTAGGTGGCCGTTTACTGAACGCGCCCATTCCCTATGATGCCAAGTTTCCTCTGCTATTAAGTAAAGGTTCGCACTTTGTGAAAGCGTATCTCCGGTTCCTACATGTTCGCAATCACCATGCCGGGCCCAAGGCATTGGTAGCGCTTCTACGAGAAAAAATATGGTTAGTAAATGCACGAGAAGCCTGTAGTCGAACTGTTAGAGATTGCATTCACTGTTTCCATTATAAGCCGAAACTGCAAAGTCAGATCATGGGCAATCTACCCGCCGATAGGCTACGAGCGCAACGACCATTTATGATATGCGGTGTAGATTATTGCGGGCCCATTCATATAACGTTGAAAATTCGCGGCCGACCACCCGTGAAAATGTACATTGCCATTTTCGTTTGTTTCGCTTCAAAGGCAGTACACTTAGAACTTGTATCTGACTTAACTGCTGATAAATTTATTCTCGCCCTAAAAAGGTTCATTGGTCGCCGGGGGATACCAGCCAGGATACATTGCGACAACGCGACGAACTTCGTCGGAGCGGAGAGGAAGCTGAGGGAGCTTCGGGAGGCCTTTCTGAAGCAGAAGCCGGAGATTCTCCAGTTCGCCGCCGACGAAGGGTTCACGTTCGCCTTCATACCTCCGAGGGCGCCCCACTTCGGCGGGCTGTGGGAGGCAGCAGTGAAGTCGGCGAAACATCTGCTAGTTCGCGCCGTAGGCAACGCGCTGCTAACCGCCGAAGAAATCGTAACGCTGCTCGTCGAGATCGAAGCAGTGCTCAACTCGCGCCCACTCGCACCGCTCAGCAGCAACCCCAACGACGGCGAAGCGCTAACTCCCGCGCATCTACTAATCGGATGCCCCTTGCGAGCTCTGCCACCGGAGAAAGTGCCCGACAGTCCCAGCCGCTGCTTAGACAGATGGCAGCTTGTTTGCTTTCACAAGCAGCAGTTTTGGCGCGCGTGGTCGAAGAGCTACCTGTTGGAGCTCCAGCAGCGCAACAAGTGGGCCCAACCGCAGCCCAACGTCGAGCCAGGCCAACTCGTCGTCGTCCACGAGGACAACGTTCCACCGCAACAGTGGGTGCTAGGCAGAGTCACCAAAACAACTACGGGGGCAGATGGCAAGGTGCGCGTCGCAGACGTCACAACTAAGTCTGGAGTCATACGACGGCCTATCCACAAACTAGCCGTGCTACCTATGCCGAATGATTGAAGGACTAGATCCCTTCAAGGTGGCCGGTGTCGAAGCAGAACTATATACATACATTAGCTATATAAACAAAATAAAAATTGAAATATGAATTGTATTTGAATAGAAACACACATGTACATATATATATATATATTCTATTTAATTTCGTATTTATGCAAACATTTACATATATACTTACTTTCGCTCTACTTACCTTTCTCGCTTTTACTTTCGTATTTACTATCTCTTACACTTGTACATACTTACCTCTGTATATTTACTGCCACTACATACTTATCATCTTATGTACTTACCTATGTATACTTACCCCTTCTTACTCTCTCATGTTTCCCCGGTTCTTCTCCTGCTTAATACTTCTAAGTTAAGCCGTTAGGTTAGGCAGTAGGTTAAGAATATGAAATGAAGAATTGTAATAAACACTCGAATTGTAATATCGGAACCGTGCGGTCATTATTTGTCCTCCCAGGCAACTAAATCGGAAATAATTTGGTAGTGTTTCGCGCTCCTCTAAAAGTGACAAGAACTGATAAAAAAAGGTACAAACCAACTTAACACAAAACAGTGTTGAATTTTCACATTGAATATAAGAAGAGTGAAGCGAGTTAACGCAGTTAAGATTGAAGTTAAGCTAGCGATTCAATAAAAAATAATATGTTGTTTTTTTATATGACAGAAAACATATGTATTAAAAAATTAATTTAAGATTTGAGTTAGAATTCGAAGTGTATAAGTTTCTCTATGCAAAGCACACACATGTGCGTGTGCTTTTTATTAATAAAAATAAAGTACACACATGTGCCCGTGCTTTTTACCAAATGGCACACACATGTGATGTGAGCAAGATTTTAATTTTTTATATGCACAGCACACGTGTGCGAGCGTAAAATGTTGAATCTCCAAGGAACCATCCAGTAGAGTCATTTGCAGTGTATGCTTTTAGTATATGGGATTTTATTTTACTGCTTTCCCAAATATAAGCGTCGTGCGTACTTCCCCCATACCTTGCGAAGCACCCCAGGATATTTAAATCGAAATCGCACACCAATTGCACATTCTTGGAAAAGTATCCTTTCCGATTAATGTAGCAGTATTCTACATCACTTGATGGCTTCTTAATTTTGACGTGAGTGCAATCAATCGCTCCTAAGACGCCGGGAAATCTAGTTGCATTAAAAAAACTGTAAATAACCACGAGTCGTTAAATTTGAAATAATTCACTTACCGTTTTTTTACTATATTCTGCTGCTCTAATGTTGTTGGGAATATAATATATCGTTGCGCCAAGTAGTTTTGCAAAATTTTTGTGACTTGATGTAGTATGCGGCTTACCATGGCCTTACTTACGGCGCAAACGAAATCCTGACCGACGTCTCTAAGGTACGATCCTGTAGCATAATAGTGGAGTGCTACACACAGTCTAATGGAGTTTGGAATGAACGTATTCCTTACTGCTGTATCCATTAAAGGCTCCATTTCTACAAGAAGTTTTCTGACTGTTGCCCTGCTGAAGCGAAACAACTCTATAAAGCGCGCCTCTGGAATGCTGAATGGATCTGTGGAGTCCCTCAAACGCCGCCGTCGCATTCGCAGCATATTTCTGCGGTCTTGTTGTATCGCGAGTGTAGCTACCAACAAACTCATAGTTGAAACTAAATATTTATCAATATACAATTTTTTGTATACACATTTTTGTTTTCATGCTTACTTTTCAAAATGTTTTGACAAATAATTTTCAATTCGATTTCACACATTCCTTGTCGATTGGCATATCATTTCTCTCACTGTTCCACATTTTGTCGATTAATGCTTGCGGAAACACTTTTTCCCCGCCAATCGACAAACTTGGATCGAATCGATATGACGTCACTATAATCGAGAATTTTGTCGATTTCTTACAGAAACGCGCTACTGAACTGCTTACTCAGTCCTAAGTAGCACTTGTTGGCAAGAGTGATTCTCGATTGGATTTCCATGCTGGCATTATTATCGGTGTTAATGCCGATTCCCCAAGTAAACGAAATTCTCTAATTTCTCGAAATTATAACTGTCAACAGTGACGTGGGTGCCAAGGCGCGAATGTGCTGACTGTTTGTTTGATGACAGGAGATACTTCGTCTTGTCCTCGTTTACCACCAGACCCATTCGCTTGGCTTCCTTAACAAACTTGGAAAAGGCAGAACAGACTTCGCGGTTTTTGTTACCGATGATGTCGATGTCATCGGCATAAGCCAGCAATTGCACGCTCTTGTAGTAAATTGTCCCTAAATTGTTCAGTTCTTTAGCTCTTATTATCTTCGCCAAACTCAGATTAAAGTAGTCACATGACAGGGAGTCGCCCTGTCTGAAACCCCGTTTGGTGACGAACGGCTCGTAGAGGTCTTTCCCAATTCTGACGGAGCTGGTGGTATTGCTCATCGTCATTTTACACAGCCGTATGAGTTTTGAAGGATGCCAAATCCAGACATAGCGGCGTATAGGCAACTCCTTTTAGTACTGTCGAAAGCGGCTTTAACCCTTCGGAGGGAGCGCCGCGGCACCGCGCCGCGGTTTTAATTTGTGGTTTTCAAATACTAATTNACAGTGACGTGGGTGCCAAGGCGCGAATGTGCTGACTGTTTGTTTGATGACAGGAGATACTTCGTCTTGTCCTCGTTTACCACCAGACCCATTCGCTTGGCTTCCTTAACAAACTTGGAAAAGGCAGAACAGACTTCGCGGTTTTTGTTACCGATGATGTCGATGTCATCGGCATAAGCCAGCAATTGCACGCTCTTGTAGTAAATTGTCCCTAAATTGTTCAGTTCTTTAGCTCTTATTATCTTCGCCAAACTCAGATTAAAGTAGTCACATGACAGGGAGTCGCCCTGTCTGAAACCCCGTTTGGTGACGAACGGCTCGTAGAGGTCTTTCCCAATTCTGACGGAGCTGGTGGTATTGCTCATCGTCATTTTACACAGCCGTATGAGTTTAGAAGGATGCCAAATCCAGACAAAGCGGCGTATAGGCAACTCCTTTTAGTACTGTCGAAAGCGGCTTTAACCCTTCGGAGGGAGCGCCGCGGCACCGCGCCGCGGTTTTAATTTGTGGTTTTCAAATACTAATTGTAGCCGGCCACTGCCACTTAGTGACTTTGTAAGTTTTGAGATGCAGCATGGTTCACAGTTAGCTTTCACTTGCTGCGTTATGTCGTTCAGTTGATATTTGTATTTGATAGTTGGTATCTCATAAATGCGGCTGAATTGCCGCGTCGCATCCTTCCGTGTACCAAAAAAATTTTAATGTAAATCGCGATTTGTTTTTTAAGATAGTTGGAAAAGTGAGTTTGTGATAAGGGTCTTAATCAAAATTGTTATTTTTTAAGTTTTTTGTCATGTGTAATTTTAAAGTTATACTTTGCAAACACATTACTGTAACTATTATGATATAAATTTTCTTAGGTTTTACAGGAAAAAAGGGTGTTTTTAAACTTATATAGAAGCGAACCAACTACGCAACAGATATTGAAACCAGGAATATGTACCAGGAATCAATCAAAATTTCTTGTATTAATTTAAAAAAAATGTTTGCAGAAAACATTGCAAGCATATTTCACGATGTGTAGAATGTACCAACACCACTGTTAATGATGACGGAAATTTAAAAAATAAATGCTTATAATATGTTTCAGTATAAACACATGGTGAAATAATAATAAGGTGTTGTCAATTAGGGGGTGGTTGTTGTAATTTTGGCAATTTCGGCATACCAGCGTTACAGTAATGCCTACTCTATTCATTCCAATTTCATTTCTGGGCAAAATGAAACAAAAAAATGGAGCAGACAATTTTGTGAAAAAATTATGCATAGTTATCACTTACTCGCAGGCAATGGCAAACCTCCGAGTGTATTTCTGCCATGAAAAACAGCTTCTCATAAAAATACAATCGCCGTTCGGAGTGGCGTAAAACTGTAGGTCCCTCCGCTTTGTGTGACAACATCAAGGCGCACGCCACAAGTCGGAGGAGAAGCTCGGCCAAACACTAACATATGTGTAAGTGCCAATCTATTATTATTATTATTATCACTTACTACGTTTATACGCACGTATTATTTGCAAATAACAATTTGCAAAATGGTAAACTTTGCCGTATAAACGCTGAGTTAATTTTTTACTTGCAAATAACTAAATCACGCAAATAAGTAGTGATTAGTGGTACTATTTGCAAATAAGCGCAAGACGCCGCCGTTCTTAAGTTTATTTTCGATGGTCATCTTATTGCCTTTTAATAATCAAGACCATTTTTAACTTTATTTTTTTTTTCGATGGTCATATTATTGCTTTTTTATAATCAGGCAATATTAAAGAATTTTTCACAATCGAATAAACAGTGAGTTAGGTATTTGCAAATTATTTTTGTTTGCAAATAGCTTACGTATAAACGTAGTAACTGTTTCTTTGTTTCGCTTTTGCTTTGACTTTTCGTTTCAAATTCATTGGAAAATTTGAGCGATAATTTCCAATAATTGCGATTTTGTAAGTAAATTTTTGATAAAATATATACTGTACATATCCAGCAGATTATTGGAGCAGTGCCTCAGATGGCTACAATAATACACTTTGGTCTAACAATTTAAACGCATAATGATTTTATAATATAACTGATAGAATTCAGAAATTCAATTTTTAAATGTTAACGAAAATAAAGGTCGTAATAAAATTAAGGAAAAAATACAAATAAAATTCCATACGGGCTAATATGTCATTTTTAGTAGAATTTAAGAATAATTAAATAAAGAGAACGGTATAATTTAATTTGTTTTAATATGAATAAATGAAAGACGGAAAATAGTCCTTATTTTTTAAGTATTAACCATCTTCATATGTGTGCGGTACGACGGTGTGGCCTTAAAGTTTTACAAATAATAATTTTAAGGTAGAAAAATATAACTGAATAATAATTATTAAAATCAATATATTTGATCGAAAAAATAAAAATTAAGTAAGAATAATTTCTTTTGAGCGAAAAAATGAAACTGTAATTACACTGGTTTACAGAAAAAACATTTTATTGATGCCAGCTTCATTTAACTGATGTGGGGTCCACTGATATATGTATGTATTGGAAATAGTACCCAAAAAGTAGTAAAAATAATCCTAATCTTTTCGCCCTTTTTCTACTACCCCAAAATGCATGGCCGCAATTGGCATGCAGAAAAAGTGAGGTTATGTAAGTGACCTCACCTTATATGTATTTCACCATGGCATAAACATAAATTATTCAATGTCTTATTTGAATGATTTTTCGACATAAATAAAAAAAAATCCAGTCAACCTTTGAGATGCAACTTGCGGCTAAATTGCCACGGTGCGCCCTCTCGTGTAACTTTCATAGCGCGCCCTCCCAAGGGTTAAAGGCGACAAATAGGTGGTGAGTGTCGATCCTTTTCTAGCGGGTATTTTCCAAGATTTGGCGTATTGTGAATACCAGGTCTATTGTGGATTTGCCAGGCCTAAGGCCACACTGATAAGGCCCAATCAGTTCATTTACGGTGGGCGTCAGTCTTTCTTACAATACGATAAGACCTTGTAACCTATGCTTAGAAGGCTGATCCCGCGGTAGTAGTCGGCGGAATGGCGGGGTCGCCTTTCTTGTGGACTGGGCACAGCACACATAAATTCCAGTCGTCGGGCATGCGTTCATCTGACCATATTCTGCATAAGAGTTGATGCATGCACCTTATCAACTCCTCGCCACCGTACTTGAATAGATCAGCTGGCAGGCTGTCAGATCCAGCGGATTTGTTGTTTTTTCAGCCGCACTATTGCTATTCGTACCTCGTCATAGTCAGGCGGTGGAACATCGACTCCGTCATCATCGACTGGAGGCTCGGGTTCTTCTTCTCCACAACTTTCCGTACTGCTACAATTCAGTAGGGTGGAAAAGTGTTCCCTCCATAATTTAAGTATGTTCTGAACATTGGTAAGTAGGTTGCCATGTCTGGGGCTTTGCGACTACAACTGCTATGTAAAGGAACGCAATCATGTTACAAATATATCTATGCTAATAAGGAATCTTTAGAGGTCTAAATACATGCTAATTAGTTATACCTTAGTAAAAGAATTATATGTCCATCATGTTTTTCCTCGATTTCTCTGTATTAAATAAGGGTGACGTTTTTTTGTGGTATGCAATTATAATAGCCCGTTACATTGAACTGTCTGAAGAAGAGCCCAGAAAGATAACGGTAAAGAATTTTCGTGACATGAAAGGTAGGTAAATAACTGCTAAAGTAAGCAGACATCAGAATATAATAAGAAATTACCTTAAAAAACTCTGTATACTATGGAAATCATAGGCTTAGCGGTCCTATACAAACCTCAAAGAGTGATCCAAACGGCATATCCAAAGTCTAGCTACCAGGCACAGCATGATTTGCTGAAAAATGTATATGTAGTTGAATCTATCTGTCACAAGAAACAGTTTCCAATAAATAATAAATACGGACTTGGTACCTAGGCTAAACAAATAAATCGCTAAGCCACAGCCCAATCTATAGCACAAAAATACGCTTTTAGCATTTAACAAAAAATATAAATTTTGTAGAAAGAATAGAACGATATTTTCAGCGATGAAAAAAATTGAAATATTGGAGATGCAGATGCCTACTCTAGATATTGCAGACTCATTCTATTTCCATGGCGAACCTACCTTGGCGAAAGCAATCTCTTATGCACGTATAGCTTTGGAAAATATATAAAATCTTTTTACTTTGAGAAAAATGAATATCCAGAAGTAGAAACATTCCTTATGCATCGGATTGATTAATTTTTCGGGCAATACGACCGAAGATGTTTGGACCTTCCGGCGGAAAATCGATGTTATTCACACAGTGCAAACAACATAATCGTTATTCAAGGAAAAAAAACCATTTTTTGAGTGTCTAGCTTAAAATCAGGGTTTGAATTCCCAGTAGGATTTTGTAATATCTACTCTTAAGAAGATTTAATGCCA